CTTGCACGCTGTATAAGGAAGTGGACGAACACTTGTATGAAAAAGGAGTTAATTCAGCCAGACCTCCGAGGAAGATCCCTTTCAAAAAGCCTGCTAAATGATGAGTTGGTTTCTCTTCAAGTGGCCTCCTATCTTCGCTCTAAAAAATTTAATGTAGACTCTATTATGGTCAAAAATTATTTTGAACAAGAAATCTTCCCCCTGTTGAACATTGAATCTGTGCAAGGTATTTCGGTTAGAATAGCATGTCAGTAGATGCATAAGCTCAGCTTTCATTATCAACAATATCAGAAAGGTTTATATGCAAATGGGCATGAGCACCCTGACGTCGTCGAATACCACCAAACTTTTCTCCTGAAGGTTGCCTAGCTTGAACAATTTATGTCCAAGTGAGTCGATCTAGAATGCAAAATGAGGACCTTTCCTGATCTACATTGTGATGAAAAGGAACATGTATGGGTAACACACGATGAAACTATCTTTTATGTTTATGATCGACTGCATTCTGTATGGGGCCCAGAGGGAGAACAGCTATTGAGAAAAAAAGGGCTGGGTGCTGCCGTATACATAAGTGACTTCTTAACAGAAACTATAGGATCGCTTAAAGATGATCAGAAAGAAGCACGTGTAATGATGGTTAGATGTTATTTTTAACTTTAGTAATCAATATTTGATGTTTTAAGTAAATTAATTAATATCTAAAAATTCTTTTCTAATTTTTTAGATTTTGGATGCTAACTGCGATGGTTATTGGGACTCTGAAAAACTTTTTGAGCAAGTAAAACGGGCGGTTAATATTTTTGAGCGAACATATCTGGGATGTGTAGGTGTATTTGCCTTTGACAATGCTACATCTTATAAAGCATTTTCTGAGAATTCACTTGTGGCTTCAAAAATGAATCTTGGTCTGGGTGGTTTGGCTCCAAAAATGTGTGAAACTATGTGAAATAGTAGTCGTCAGTCAATGGTCATTGAGAATGATCATTTTATTTATGACAAAAAAAAAAACTTATGTGAATTTGCGTGGGCAGCCTAAAGGAATCCAATAGGTTCTTAATGAAAGAGGATTATAGCAGGATAATATGATGCTTGAGTGTATTTCATATAAAAAAAAAGAGGCAGATCCAAATATTATTGATTGCTGTGTGCATCAGTTAATGGCTAACTAGCCTGACTTTCTTGAGCAACGTGGTCAAATTCAGCAAGAAATTGAGTCTCGTAGGCATAAGGTTATATTCTATCCCAAATTTCATTCTGAGCTCAACTATATCGAAATGTATTGAAGAATGGCCAAAAAATATACTCGATCTAATTGTGAATATTCACTTCCAAAAACTAGGGAATCGATCATTCGGGCTTTCGATTCTATTTCCATAGAGCAAATTCGTTCTTTCGCTAGACTTTCGTATAGGTGAATAGATGCTTACTGACATGGATTGAAAGGAAAAGTGGCTGAATATGCTGTTAGGAAAAATAAAAAACACCGAACGATTAGTGAAGAAATTTTAAATCAGATCAATGAATTTTAAATTAAAAAAATTTACTTTTCTGTTTTGTGGGCTTCATAATTTTGGAGTTATGTTGATTTTTTTTTTTAATTATTGATATGTATTTGACTTACCCACTCATAAATATATAATTTTTTAAAAATTATTGATTTTTAATAAAGAATCATATTGATTTTTAGTAAAGTATTAGTGCGC